AAAAGTGGCAGCCGTTCTAAAAAAAAAAAAAAAAAAAAAAAAACCAGACAAGTTGCCACAAAAGCATCCAAGTTGTAATGACCCGCCAAAACACAGACTGAGAACACTGCTGATTTCTGGGATTTGCCGCTGGAATGTATGCCTTGCTGAGATTCTCGCATTCTGCTGTGATTTCTAAGTCTGTGTATGTGTGTGCCTTCTGGTCTGCGTGCTTGTCTGAGTGCTTGTCGGCCTGAGTTTGTGTGTGACCCGCAAGGGTACTTGTTCGTTTGGAGGCCCGGCAGGGCCGGTACTTACCTGTGGCCGTGACTTTGAGGGTTGCAGCGGGAAAAACACTCAAGTAGCGGGGGTAGGCCCGTGAGACTTAGAGCAGCAGGAAAAACACTCAAGTAGTAGGTAGACCGGTACCACTCAAGTAGTGGTAGAAGTGTCGGGTACTCGTGGCCGAGCAGAAGAACACAAAAAGTTGGCATTTTTAGAGGCCAGTAGCGGTAGGCTAAAGGTAGGCTGGTACCAGTCCAAGTAGCCTGAGTCTAGGGCCTGTACAGACGATATCAGAGCCTGCAATGATGTTCCCTCCGAAAGGGAGGAGGTACCGGTTGCTGGGAGGCCGCGCGGCCTAGGAAGTCACGGCCCAAGAGGCAAGTAGGCCGCTATATCTTCTGCAGGAGCGAGTAGCTCCTCCTCATTTGCAGTGTGCAAGGATTGGCGACATACTGCTTGAGCGCGCAGCCAAAACTCAGAGCGCTGCCTGGAGGAAGGAGAGCAGCTGGGCGCTCAGCCTGGCTATGGCGAGCAGCCCAGCCTGAGAGGAGGAAGAAGGGGGCCAAAGGAGGAGAGTGGCGAGGTACCTACCTGGCTATGGTGGACACCATCCTCATCACCTTGATGGGCGCTGCATCTGGAAGGGCCCAGTTGGGGTAGTGCCGCACCAAGGAAGCCTGAGGCAGAGTCAGGCATGACGGCCTGATCAGCACAGGCCATAGATGCTTTGTGTTGTCCTTTGCACAGGAGGGCAGAGCCCTTAGTAGTCCGCCATAGCCGTGGCATGTGAGATGAGGAAGAAGGGAGAAGCCATGGCTATGGTGGACATCTTGTTGTGCTGGCAGTAAGAGGGAACTTCGGATATTGATTATGTTTCATCCACTCATTGTCATTATTATTATTTGGAAGAAGAATAAGATTGTTATTATCATTATTACATGTGAAGCAGCACGTGACCTCTTACGGACCCATCAACAAAACAAGAACATACAATACAAAATGAAAAACGAATGGTTATTTCAGATTGCTTATACAGTGGGGCCTCAGAAAAGGCCAACGTGAGCAAAATGGAGGCCCAGGTAATTGCAGAGAGTGCATGTTACATGCTGCGCCTGCACACGGGCCCCATTTGAGGGGCCCGACGGTTGCTGAAGGGCCCCCAGGCCGCATGCCCATCAGACATGCGCCCTGGAGGCTCACGGCGGCCCCCAGGCCGCAGATCTCAAATATAGGCGGCATTTATTTATTTATTTACCTGCTGTCCTATTTTTGTCTGTGCAGACGTCGTTTCGGACCTGCAGTCCCCAAGGCACGACCTTGGGACTGGGTACACCAGAGGCAGGGCCTAAAGGAGGCAAGGCGCGTTTTGCGCCCTGCTGCATCAGCAGCACAGTCTGGACGTCCAGTAGGGACACAGACCGGCTGGGCCGTTTTCAGACCAGCACCAGGTAGGCCCAGCCTCGCCCAGCGCTACATATAGCTGGGCAGCGGCTGGGCAACGGACAGATCAAGTAGCTCACTTCTTGGGTGCTACGCTGCTGGACCAGCACCGCACCGCTAGCGCTGCGTTGCGTTAGGATTAGCGAAGTAGGCAGGAGATAGGGCGGAGGCCATACCTGCAGTGTTCGAGTACGTACCTGGGCGCCATAGCTGGACTGGGCTTCAGTGACCTGCAGCACAGCGTACGCCGCCGACGTCAGTACTTGGCAGCAGTTACCTGCAGGTGAGACAGTGAGGAGGACGACATCATCTTCTTCTTCTTCTATCTGTTCTCGCCCTCCACGTCTTCTTCTTCCTTCCTTCTTCTTCTTCTTCTTCTTCTTCTTCTTCTTCTTCTTCTTCTTCTTTCGGAGAGAGAGAGAGAGTTCAGGCAGAGGTTTCACGGGCATATGCCCCAGATCTGATTCCACATTTTTTTTGCGGCAGACATTGATTGGACACTCGGCCAGGGACTATTTTTTGGACTTCGCTATAGCGATCTTAGTCTTCACCCTCCCCTCCATCTTGTCTCGCCTCCCCCCATCTCTCATCCGTGGTATCTCCCCCCATGTGCGTGTGCAAGGAGGGACCTTTCTCCTATGTATGCGGACCTCCTCTCTCTCACACGTGTGGTGTATGATGGGGTGTAATGTCAGTATCTGACAGGTCAGATCATATCTTGTTCCGCTGCGCTACATTGTGCTATTTTGTATGTATCTGGATGTACATTGCTTGTTCATGCTTGGCTGACGCTGCATTGCCCATACAAGTCCATTTCATCACTTTGCGGATCCTTGGCTCCCCCTACATCGCCCGATTGGGCATGCTTCAGTGCAGCACCATGTTTTGATCCCGCAAAAAAAAAAAAAAAAACTCAAATGATGATACTTAAGTCCCTCATGCAATATGGGTTGAGGTGCCGTAGTACCTACCACACTTTCACATCTAGCGGCAGCAGTGAAGGAACCTGAATCACCAGAGCCTGACCCGGAAACCAACCACCTTGCATGCTTGAGAATTAAGGTCACTTTGCCGTTTATTCAACTTTATTGTATGCTCATTGCTCACTCAACAAATACCACTACGCTAAGCTTAGTCCGATTCTGTGTGCGCCAGACTTCTGACGCCCAACGGATGGGGGAACAAAGCAGGGCGCAACCCTCCTCCCCTGAACACAACGCACCCTCCTCATGAATGCATACAAGCGGTCTTTTCCATCTCACCAGGGCAATAGCAAGGCTTCTAAGGAACTTTGCATTGACATGTCATCAGACTCTATGAGAGTAAACGATGATTGTACTATAACCAAAAGAACAAAGGTTTTACATCATAAGTTACGAACCATTAATGAGATAAATATATAAGTTACGAACCATTAATAAGATAAATAGCAGGGATGTTGAGGAAACAATGACAGCTACCTCCCTCGTAAAGGTCGTGCAGCTCCCAAAGGATTCGAGTGATATGTGTGTTCAGACTGGTGGAACATGGCTCCAACGCGTCTGCTGCCGCCGGCGCCGTGGTACCCTGCATGCAGCCAATCAGGGGTATTCTTGATAAATCGAGGCCCAAATTTTCTTCTTCTGACAAACAGAGTACCAAATTCACAGAACAGGGGTGGGAAAAAAAAGGAGGGGGGGGCGACCCGGAGAAGTCAGTAAAAACGGGGAAATTAGCTACATAAGGGAGGAAAATTACACATACAGGCCCCATTACGGCTGCAAGAATCCGTAATGTCGTTGTCAGAATGTACCTGGACACCAGACTTGTCGAGTCCATTCAGGCGAACCCGGAACTGCTACATGGCCAGGCACATCTCGGTAGGAGCAAACCAGTCATTGTGGGTTCTTCCAGGGACCATCAGGGAGTCCTTCCAAAGGAAAAACCATAAGAATGTTACGAAATAAAAACGTTCTCATTATCATCAGCTGATTATCACTG